GTACTCGATAGTTTGGGTTGGCTCCAGATTAGTTTTTTTGTTTTTTATTTTTTTTTTTTCTTTTCTTTTTTTTCCCCTTCCTTCCTTGTTGTGTTGATATCGTATCCATGGAAATAATGCGAAACAGCGTGGTTGAAGTTCCCGTATTGTGCTCTCGGTTAGGAAGAGATGGTCTGGTATAGGCTAAAAAGCCGATTAGAAAAACCCAAGACTTGCAAGACCCATGGTTAAGGGAATCGTCCTTTCGGCCCCTCTTGCATACTGAAATCAAACGATGCATGTTCCATGCACTCTGCAAGAACGTGATGACGATGTGGAAGTGTTGTTGAACTCTAGAATTAGCATCTACCACACTGTCTCTGATGTATCCTGCACGGTGACTTTACTAACCCTGCATGAAAACAGGAACTTGGTACGACCAGCGACGTCAAAGGCAGCGTCATGGTGACTGCCCAATATCAAGGAGCTGATCTTGCGCGCGCACGGGATTGGACCTGGCAAGTACATCCGCGCTCTTGACCGACTGAAAGGAAATGGATCGCCGGTGGATCCGATCAACCGTGACCAACCGATCGTAATTGAACGATAGACACCAATCGTTCCACCCACCATCCTGTTGGGCTGTGGATCACTACTGCAGTGGGACTTGGACTTTGCAAAGGAAGCGGGCTCACCAGCCACACTTCTCTCCGCCTGAGGGTCTCCTAGTGGCGCTCTCGACTCAGTCGCATCCCAAATCCCTTTATGATGTGGAGAAAGCTCTTGTTTTTCCGCCACCCTCTAACCTCCACCATTGCCTACGGCAACCGTAACCGTGGTCGTCTTGCGCGCTGAGAGCGGTTCACCGTGCAGTTTTCTTCTAGTAATTTCGGCTGGTTATCGCGGAGGTTCTCGTCTGAGCCCCTCTCGTATCTACAAGCCCACAGGCGGTTGGGACGGTTTCCAGCCACCGCAGCGATGTGGGGTGGCTGAAATAGAAGGACTGACACTGAAGGTATTACATTTGCATGTACGGAGTAGGGGGGGGGATCAAATGAGCAGGGTGTTGCGAAAGGTAGGGAGTAACACGGACGGAAAGGAACAGAGTTCGATCGACAGGACATACGAGTTCTCCTTCTCCACGAAAGACAAAGATCGCCGGGAATAGCTTTTCCCTCCAGAAAGAGAAAAATGGGAATGGAGGGGAACAAACAAAAAAAAGTTGGACGAACTGTGGCGGTGCAGCGGCCTCTTCCACCAGCCCTAAAGCCGGACAAAGTCCGAGTACGCGGCAGACGTCACAGTTTCCGGCGTTTTTCACGATCAAGGACCTTGTGCCATGAATAAACCATTCTTACTTGATACTAACTCATAGCAAAAAACCTGTAGCCTAGTTACGGAGAACACCGATCAGCCACACTATCATAGGATCCAATCCCAAGCTTTTCCAGTCATGCAGCCCTCGCTTGAGCCACACGAGGCCAGAGACCCAGGCTGCAGAGATACTGCGATCTCGGGAGGTGGTCGCCGAACTGCAGCCGAAAGTTTCTCAATCTCCAAATGTTCTCGCAGAGCTTTCCTCGGCCGGGGTTCAATAGTTCCCCCTAGTGCATCTATTAAATTAGATCTGTGTGATGATGAATCTAGACCTCAGCCACGATAAGCAACCGAGTCGATTAGATGAAAGCACTGTCGCAGCTTTTTGTTGTTGTCGCATGCAGGTCATACCGACCTGCATACAGTACCAATGGCTATAATTAAACAGAAGCAGATTTCCAAATCACATATTGCCGTAAGGGATAATATTCACAATCGGGGGTTAATTTCGTTCACTCCCTCATATCAACGAGGGTGCAACCCTTACTTAAAGAATACTACACAGTAACTTGAAGTCCCTGGTGCAATGTTAAAACATGGAAAGCTCACATACAAACCACTTGGAGGTTTTCGATGAAGCTAGCGATTTCCAATTGATGCTTATTCGAAATCACCATACCATCGGAGTAGATTATATCGATCCATGGATTCAAGGAAGACTTTCCCGAGGAAACGAGTTCCGGCTAAATCTACCAATGAGGACGTATAATAATGGCCATACTCCCTCCCACGTGGGTAAATTGGTATAGATCGACATTTCCCTTTTTTCGCCCCATGGAGGTTAAAGTGGGATCCGCATATTCCCATATTTATGGATTATACGGGGTACTCGACGTGAGTTCAGCTGATTTATCCCGATTTCAACCTGGTATTCGGATTGACTGGTATCTATTAGTAGCTTGACGGTCGTCTCATGATCGTATGGAACTTCTATGTGGACTACATCCCAACGCTGGTTGAGGTCCTCATATTTAGAGAGAGATTATGGGATCTTTGATGATATAGTTTATAAAAAGCTAATCCTGGTTTTAATAAGAGATTATGATTTCTGGCAATGACACATGCGAGGGAGCTGGTCTATTTACTGCGTAGAACTACAGTGGCTATTCACGGCTACCCGATTGGGATCTGCGGCCAGACGCGTGGATGAAATATAATAGCAATAATGTTGACAATCCCCGAAGTGTGACCAACACACTTGGCTGTCAGACCCCAGCTTTGTAGCCCTGAACAGGTCAAGCTTAATTCAGTCGCACAAGAGAGTAGCATCTCTGTTCTTGATGACGAATACTATATCAGCGCCAATCTACACGACGCTCAGCGGATCTGAACTAATTCCGCTACAGCGCACCGATCTGTATCCCGCAGATACTGCCCCTGAATCAAACGGATACCTAGTCTGGAGTAAGGCCTTTCCGTAAGTGGAGCTTGTAGTAATTAGGATATAATGGCCATTGTCCAATTCCTATTTCTCCTCCTCGCCAACATCTGTGAATTTCCTCCAGCTTTGGGCTGAACTAGGCCGTGCAATTATGACACAGATCAATTTCTCAATCTCTACGATATCGTCGCCGTCGTATATGATCCATCCCACGATATCACTGTGCGAATCGACGACCTTGCAGTTTGAGTCCTTCCAGTGTGTGATCGAACAACCTTGACAGATCTCAGAGAGGATCCTGTAATGCATACCGGTGCTCGTCCTCGCCGGCAATCCGCTTGGGCCCGTCTCCAAAGGAGGCTTTCGTGCAGGTGACAATGTAAAATGCCTCTTGTGCACTCTGTATTGTAGAACGATGCTAGTTGTTTTTCCAGGCCTGAGATAGCGGAGGGCGTATCGCTGGGATTCATAAATTCAAGCTTTGAATATCGATTGAAGACCAAATTTGAAGAGGTCAATCTTGTAAACATAGCATCGGGGTATGTAATTCAGCAGGGAATAGAGACATGGCGGATCAGTACTCAGCAAGAGAAGCCCCAAGCGCGAGACATTCAGCAAGCAGTTGATCTTCTGATTGCGGACGAAGCCGAACGAATGATTCAGGACTCTGGACAAGATCTTGTCTCAGAAGATAAAGATACAACACGAAAAATTGTCTGTAAAATGAAGCCTGTAATCTTCTCTGTTGTTCTTATTTATCGAATTCTGCTTTCAATCAAAAAATCCATGTGTCACCAGAAAATATATATATTTCAAACTAAGTATACCCAGGGTGGACTATCATATCCGATGACATATTGAGAGAAACGTGTAAAGATAAGACCACAGAACTGAGACAAACAGCAGGCTTCTTTGAGTTGAAATCCTTTTTATGGGCAGAATGAATGCAAATGTGAAGCTGGTTTTGCACTTCTCTCAGCAGAGCGCTTCGCGCTCAGCGATTATTTTTTACCGTTATGGTTCCCTCCGCAAGGGGCCCACTAAGTCACTGACAATGCTCGGTAGCTATGTGGGGCCTCACCGCCCGCCATCCATGATCTAGATTCCTCTTTGTTTCTGTATTGCTCAATATCCTAGTCTCAGTTCAAGGGATAATGCTACGTCTAACCCGTCGCTTCACGCAATATCTCTTTCGGCGACAGCGTCTCCAGCTCGACCACCCCCTCCCTTGGGTGCCCGGCTTGACCCAGCCGACAAGTTGGAGGAGGAAACCTTGCGGTGGTACTCACCAGATCTCTTTTACCCAGTGAAAATCGGTGACGTCTTTTGTTCAAGATACTAAGTGGTCGGAAAATTAGGCTACGGGGGATACTCAACAGTATGGCTGTGTAGAGATTTACAGTAAGGTACTTTTTCAACGGATCTTGAATTATACACCTAAATGGCTATAGCCAGCATGCTTACGTCGCATTGAAAATATTTGAGCATGATTCTGGCCATGGTTAAAGAGAGACAGAGATATACAATCATCTTACAAAACTTAATTCAATTCAACTCACACGGGGTCTTTTCTCGTTCGAAGCGCGCTAGATGACTTTCAACTCAAATCTGCTGATAACTCTTATCAGTGTCTTGTACATACACCTTTGGCTATGAGTCTATTCGAACTACGTAATCGAACGGTAGCAAAAGTTCTCCCGGAGAACTTACTTAAACCAACTCTGATTCATATTCTCCTACCTCTCGACTTCCTTCATACGGAGGCTGGAATTATACATACAGGTAAAGTAGTCTCTGTCTCTTCAATCGCATACTTTCTGGTATTGACTTTACATATCTAGATATACAAGAAAAGAATATCATGCTGAGTGTAGAAGATCAGTCAATTCTGCTTGATTTTGAGGAGACGGAGAGATGCAATCCCAGCCCCTGCAAAGTTATTGGGGACCGGGTAATCTATTCTTCGCGAAAACTCGGAATTCCCAAGGTACACGGCCGTCCTGTATTATCGGATTTCGGGGAGGCACGGTTTCGCTCGCAAGTAGGTTCTCGATGGGAGGATGTGCGGCCATTGATTTACCGAGCCCCGGAAGTTTTATTACGGATGCCATGGAATGAGAAGATCGAGATCTGGAATCTCGGGGTCCTCGTAAATAGGCCGGGCATGTCGGATTGATTATTTGATGCCGATCTCTTCTATAGGCGTGGGATCTTTTCGAGCAGGGGTATCTTTTCTATGCCCGCGATTCTGAGAAGGACAGCTCAGACACCCTTCACCTTGCAGAGATGATCGCAGTCCTCGGGCCACCGCCCAATCATATGCTTCAAAAAAGTGATTATGCAATGCATTTTTCAATATTGACGGTATATCTCTTATTCATCTTTGATATGCGGAAGCTGACGATGTAGTAAAGGGAATTGGAAGGACGCCGCTGAGATCCCCCCTATATCCATAGAGAAACTGGAGGATAATCTACAAAGTCCACAACAAGATCTCTTTTTCTGTTTTATGCGCAAAATGCTTCAATGGCGGCCTGAGGATCGCGCCTCCGCAAAGGAGTTACTGTCAGATCCGTGGTTGAAGTCACCATAGTATGGAGTCGCTTACTTTCTTTTCGGCTTCATACCGA